TAAAAAACTTAAATTAAATTATTTTAAAACTTAAATATTCAATGAAAATAAGCAAAATTTTTATTTGTTATATATATTTGGTTACATAATTAAACTGTTTATTATATAATATTACTAAACTACTAAACTATAATAATAATAATAATAATAATAATAATAAAGGTTTTAATTATTAAACAGTACACTACCTGTAATAAAATAATTTTTTATAATTAGCATATTAATTTTATAGATTTAATATTAACAATATGAATATTCAAGTATTGATATATTAATAAATATAATATCTATTAATAAAACATTTAATAATTTTCTCTATTTATATGTTTATACTTTTATTAATATATAAACATTTTTAAAATTATATTTTTTATTTACATTATTAATTCATGTGTTTTATAAAAAATATAATAAAATATAAAATAAAATAATAAATTATAATGATTTATAATAGAAATTTAATCAAATAAAAATTTGTATATTTAGTATAATTAATTTAGTATTTAATATTTTAAAACAATTTAAAAATAATATATTTCATTTGGCAGTATAAAAAATATATAAATAATTTATTAGTAATATTTATAAAATAATAAAAAATTTAACCGTGACGTTTTTAACAATTTAACAATTTTTCATTTTAAAAAAACCTTAAACAAAACAAATCATTACTAGTAATTAATTATTAATATTAAATCTTATAAAAAATAACATTAATAATTTTTTTTATTACAATAACATTTTTTTTTGAAAAATTTTGTTACTATTTAAATAAATATATATATATATATATATATATAATTATTAATTAAATTAATAACTAAAAACATTTTTATTTAAATAAATTTTTTCAGATTTTTTAAAATAGTGATTAATAATTATTGAAAAATATATTCACCTAAAACTACATAAACATAATTAATATAACTATAATTGTAATTAATTAATATATATTTATCTAAATATTTAAATTATATCTTATAGTATAAACTAATATATTATATGATATTTAGTGTACATAATTGAGTATCCAATCTTTTTTTGGCATCACATGGAGACACCCAGTCTAACACATAGCAGGAATGGTACACTGGGTGATGCACCATGGACAGTTTTTAGTACTGTTATTACTATTAATCCATTGTATAATTAAAATATAGTTTATCTATTCTAATATAAATTTTAGAATAATTAAGTCTAATTTTTAAACATTTTTTTTTTGAGAAATTTTCTATAGTTTTTTTTAGGCAATTTTATTAGAAAATTCAAATAAAATTATTAATTAACTTATGTTACAATAGTATTGAAATCAACTATCATATTATAAACTTAAAATTTTTTATTTCAAACATTAATAAATAGTTTTATGATATTTTTTTTAAAAAAAATATTAATAATAACTTCTCTTACTTTAAATTATTATTGCAATACAATATAATTCAAATATATATTAATAATATTATACAGTATTAAACAATATAAATGTATTTACAATAGTAGAGGTATTTAATGTATATACAGGTACAGTGTATTATTTTATTATATCAATATATAGTATATACTGTATAAATATTATACATTATAAACATAATATTGAAATATGACATTGAAAAAATACTTTATTTTTTATTAATATTAATTTAATACAAATAACTTTTTAATAGTAAAGTTTTAGCAAAATTATTTAAAATCAAATTAAAAATTTATAATTAAAATTGTTTTTATTTTTGATTTTTATAATAAGTTAAATAAATTAATACAATTACATAGACTATATTATTTTGATTATATTTTTAAAAAAAAATTAATTATATTAATAAACATTGCTTTCAAAAAATAATAATAATAATTTAAAATATCTATATAACTATAATTGTTGTTATATAACATACACTATAATACTAATACTATAAAGTTTTAATTAATATACTGTTTGTGAATATATATATATAAAAATTTAATTAATCAATGTATGTAATTGAGTATCCAATCTATATGTTCGGACACTCGGGTGGAGTAACCGATGTTTGGATGAGCCGTACAATTGAGTTCACTGGGTCTTAGGGTATTAGAGTGTACACCGATTAGGACAGCCGTTTCATCCACATATTGCCACAAACCGGCCCCGGAATCACCCTATTATTTATATACAAACAAATTAGTAAATATTAACTACACTACAGTCTATACTAGTCTACTAATAAAAACACTACTAACAGCACAAACTAAGCCATCATAAACTGATTTATGTTTAATAATCATTAATTTATTGTCAGTGATGGTGTCATTGTTGGTTACAACAATTTGTCTAACACTAAACTGGACGGGTATGTAACCGATAGTATAGGGAAAACCATAGCCAGCCATCAATAGATATTCGGAATCGGTTGGCCTAATATTCCTGGCCGGCAAACATATCGAGTTTGTTACATAATAATCGCCATCAGTTTGCACCGGTATGTCTGTTTGCAACTCAATTAGGCCGATATCAGCATTTTCATGTATATAATAATGTTTACCGCGACGGTAATTGTCTGATTGAGTTAACTGTTTGTAGGTATAGTTGTAACCAAAATAAACATAATAACTGCTGGCCTGTAATTTATGTCTTTGAATTTTTTTGTTTGTAAAATATTTAATTAAAAAATAATAATATATAAATATTTATTTTATAATTACTCGAAACAATGGGCTGCCGTTAAAATCCATTTGTTTGTTATGAGTGTACCCGTACAGCCGGTCCATTTTATTGGTGTAGGTTTGTCTACACTAAATTTATTTTTTTTTTAAAAATATATTACAATTGCTTATGTATTACAATTGTGTATGTGTATGTGTATGTGTATGTGTATGTGTATGTGTATGTGTATGTGTATGTGTATGTGTATGTGTATGTGTATGTGTATGTGTATGTGTATGTGTATGTGTATGTGTATGTGTATGTGTATGTGTATGTGTATGTGTATGTGTATGTGTATGTGTATGTGTATGTGTATGTGTATGTGTATGTGTATGTGTATGTGTATGTGTATGTGTATGTGTATGTGTATGTGTATGTGTATGTGTATGTGTATGTGTATGTGTATGTGTATGTGTATGTGTATGTGTATGTGTATGTGTATGTGTATGTGTATGTGAGTTTGATTTTGTTTGATTGTTTAACTATTTATAAGTATAAGTATAAAACTATTTATATATATATTTATTTTTTAATTATACAGTGGATTAACAGTAATAACAGCAATAAAAACTGTCCATGGTGCATCACCAAGTGTGCCATTCCTACTATGTGTTAGACTGGGTGTCTCCATGTGATGCCAAACCAGACAATCACTGTCTATTGAATGCCTGACCCGTCGTAATCCACATAACGGTGTATTGAGTTGACTATAATTGCCGACAACCGCGTGATTACCGCCGACAACAACAATAAACAACGGGATAACTGTGTGTTCATACAAATCAATTGATTAATACAAATATATTATTACTTAATATTTATTTATGTTTTATTTTCATTTTATTATATTTATAACAAACTATGCTTTTAAATAAATATAATACTAAATAATTGTGTAAGATTCTTTAAGATTTACAAACAAACATATACACACATAACACACACACACATAACACACACATAACACACACACACACACACATAACACACACATAACACACACATAACACACACATAACACACACATAACACACACACATAACACACACACATAACACACACACATAACACACACACATAACACACACATAACACACATACACATACACATACACATACACATACACATACACATACACATACACACACACATACATACACATACACATACACATACACATACACATACGCATACACATACACATACACATACACATACACATACACATACACATACACATACATTACACATACATAAAACAATTGCTCAATAATTTTTGTTATATATTTCTATAATATATATGAGTTAAAATATATATGATTGTAATCAATAGTTTAATCAATAATTTAATATTTAAATATATAGCAAAATATAATAATTTAGTTAAATTATATTACTATACTTACATAAAATTGGTAACATTGATAGTATTGATTTAAACATTTATTAAATCATTGATAATGCAATAAATACACTTATAATTAGCAAAAATAATAATTTTTTTTATCTTTAATATAAATTACTATTAAGTAATAAAATATTTTTATTAACTATTTTATATAAAAATAGTTTTTTAATTAATACTGAATAATAGTTTATATGGTATCAAATTAAAAAAAAAATCATATTTCAATTTATAATGTTTTAGACTTTAATTTAAAAAAAAAACTATTTCTAAATTACAATAAATAGTGAAAGTACTTAATAAATAATAAATTATCTTAAAATTTCAAATCTTTAAAATTTTTGTTTTCTTTACATTTTTAATAGCTAATAAAAATTTTGAAATTGATATTCAAATTAACAAAAATTGTATATTTTATTAATAACAATAGTATTTATAAAGTTTAATCTATTTCTAGTAGACTATCAATCAATCTATAATTTTTCAGACAAAAAAATTATTTATATAATTTTTTTTTTGAGTATATAAATAATAATAATAAAACAAATAAACAATAAATTAATGAAAATATTGATTGTATAAATATTATGATTAATTGACACAAATCAAAACAATTTATTATTATTATTATTCAAATCATAAATGTGAACAAAAATAGTCGCTTAAAAATATTTATATTATTTGTTTACTTTAAATAAGAAAAATTAATTTATATATACCGTATATAATATATATATAGTAAACTATAGACTCAATAGTATAGAGAGTATTAATCAAATTATTTTTAAATTTTTAATTTAATATTAAAGTAAATGTAATTAAATATTCTATGATTTAAATGGCAAATATATATAAATATATATATAATATAATATATATATAAGTTATAAACATATATACTATATGTTAGCGATTAGTGGAATGTCCATCAAATGGTTGGTTTGAAAGTAAGAGAGAGAGAGAGAGAGAGAGAGAGAGAGAGCTGGTAATGATTGTGAGTGTCAACAGATGACATCCCGGTGCCAATAAACGGGTCACGTATTGGTCGTATTACCCAATCCACCGCCACCACCACTACCGCTGGTCAGTGAACAGTTGGTCGTAGACATGGCCGCCGCAGACAATAGCGACGATACTGCCATCGCTGCACTACGAGTGGCTGTTACCGGACCACCAGAGTAGCCGCCATTGTCCGAACCACCGAAACCGGCGCCACCACCGCCGTAATGATGATGATGTGATGACGATTGACGATAACTGGTATCACGTTTTTCCCGTTCCTTACGTCGCGCCTTCTTTTTCTTCCTGTCGAGTACTGTCACCTCATTCTTGATATTCAAATAGGTTCGGCGCAACTCTTGCAGTCTTTCTTGCAATATATTGATACGCCGATCGGGATCTACCGATTCATCGATTGGTTCGCAAAAGTTATACTTGGATTCGGGCACATAGTTGTTGAACGATATGTGTGTCATCGAGAACGGCACCCGATGTTCGAACGCAGTGATTGGCGACTGGCGTTCGGCTGCCGCCCGATGTCGACCTAATCGACGAAAACAAAACAAATAAATTAATTAATATAACTGTCTGTTTAAGAAACTCATTGTTGAGACCACTACTCCCATACCGGATGAGCCGCGAGTCTTGATTCCAACGGTTCGCTCTTTCGATGGCAGACAATCTGATTGAGAGATAGTTCGTACGCGACCTCTGCGCCGCTTTTTCGGCGATACAGGAGACTTGTTGTGGTCGTGACGCAAGACTAGACTGGAGTCTTCGTCGTGAACCGGAGACGGATGAAACTTTGACGACTCTTCCGTTAGTCGCTTATTGTGTGCATCATCTTTGGCTAATGGCGTCTCGTTTTCCATTTCAGAGTTTGAACCACCGCTGCCTTTGGCGTTATTATCTTTGTTCGAATGACTTGTGACGCCACCGCCGATGCCACCGATGCCGCCGACGCCGTCAGCGTCCGGCGATCGGGTGGGCGTTGAATGATAGCTGTGCGCCGGCGACAAGTCGTCGTTGAGCGGTAACGACAATTCGTCGTCGATATGTTCGTCGACTATTGCGTTCGGTTTGTCGGGACTCGCGGGTACCGCTTCCTCGCATAACAAAAAGTCTGACTCATCACCGCCGCCGCCGCCACCACCACCACCAGCGCCGCTGCGAGTCGTAATCATCGATGGATTGATATCGTCGGTAAAATTGGGCAACACTTTTATCATCGACGGCTCGTTTATCGGCAAAAAGTCCATATCCTGTACGGCCGCCGAAGTAGTAGACGATTGTTGTTCGAAAAGTTTCTGAACTTCCAGATTGCTGTCCTCTTCGGGCTGTAGTTCCAGTTTTGTCGGTTTTGTGGCCCGTTTTTTAACGACCGGTGGCGCCGCGGGCGTTGGCGACGATATATCGACTCCGATGTCGTCGTCCTTACGTTTGCGTCCTTTTCGTTTCTTGGATTCCGATTTAACGACCACCGAATTCTGGTCACTGACAGCCGCCGCCACGATAGCGGTGCCAACGTTTTGGTGTAAATTTTTTGGTATAGTTGCTGCTGTTGTTGTTGTTGTCTTTGTAGATGTAGTCGTCGTCGCCGAAGATTTCTTATCGCCAGTCGATTCGGCGGCCAATACAGTAGGCGTAGCTTTGATCGGCTGTTGTTCCTCTAATTTGACCACAACTTCGTTGGGAATCACAGTAACGGTCGATGCCTTGTCTTCATCGACGACGTGTTGTGCTTTTCGCGACTTTTTTGTCGACGACTTTCTCGACGACACACTATTCGATCGGCCGCCGCCGCTCTCACGGACACTATTGGACTCTTCATTCTTGACGGCCACCACCTCTTTGACGGTCACTTTTTCAGTGTTGGAAGCGTTCTTTGCTGCACTTCGTTTACTACCACTACTAGTTGTCGTAGTAGTAGTAGCCGTACTACTGTCCGTTTCTTTGACTTTTCGTTTTTTATTCAGTTTCTCTTTTAGTGGCTCTTCGTCTCTAACCATCATCTGTTCTTCGTCGTCGTCAAAATCGAACGCATCCTTTACCGGTGATGACGACGACAAGTTGTCATCCGATGATTTGACTTCCGTTTTCACATTGTTAGCGTTGAGCGCTATCGACTCGCTGGTCGGTTCCTTATCGGCGGCGGCCGTTGTTGTTGTTGTTTTTGATGGCCGAACACTACTGTCATTTCCAGCGCTTATTGCTTCCGATTTGATTGCTGTTAGACGGCTCTGGTGACCACTGCCGCTAACATCGTGAGAACCACCACTAGTATTGGAAACATCTATGTCCTCATCTTTGTTCTCTACGGTACTATCGTCGTGTACTTCTGGCGGATGTATAGCTTTAGTATCACTACTACTACTACTACTACTTATACTACTGGCAGCCGACACGTCCTCCACTTTAGCCGACGCTAACTTATCCGAAACGACGACCGAAGTTTCGGTAGTGCTATGATGCCCACCTTTTCGTTCATCGCTAGATTTGGTGGACGATGACCCCACCAGCACATCATCAGCGCCGGTAGTGGTAGTAGTAGTAGTAGTAGAATCGTTGGTCGATTGTTCGTCGTTTAGCGACTTATTTCGGGTGAGTTTCTCGCGTTTAGACGAATGCGGAGGACGTCCGCGTCGACCGACCGGTGTCTGCGGAGCTGTCGATGATTGACTGTTAGTTTGCGGCGACGGTTGAGTTTGTTTTTCATGAGATTTCGGCTCTTCTTTCACTGGTGTTGTCACCTCTTGTTTGTTAGTCTTTACAGTGTTTGGCGGTCGTCCGCGTTTGGCTGATGACAATTGTTTGACGGGTGCGGCGGCAGCCGTGGCTGTAGAAATGGTCGACGAAGTGTCCGCGACAGACGAATCATTTGAATGTATTGACGATACAGAGCTTTGCGATTGAAGTAACGGTGCCGATGATGACGACGACGCAACGGGTGGAGCCGGTGCTGGCGATGAGGCTGATTGTCTCTGGCTTTGCTGGCCGGCCGTTGAACTGGTGACCACTGCGGCTGCTGTTGACTGTGCAGCTGTTGTTGTTGTTGTTGTTGTGACTTTCGATGGTTGTTCGCTGGAAACCACTGCAACTTCCTTAATAGATTCGCCTTTTTTGTTAATCTTTGCCGACCGGCGTCGCGGCGATCGGTCGCGTACTACCTGAACGATACGCGACTTTTTTATCCATTCGTCGTAACGGGCGTTCCAACCGGAATAGTGGACAAAATATTTTTTACGATTCTTGATCGGATCCAATTCGATCTTCAGTACCTTCGCCTCGTAAACCTTTAGCTGTCGACCTCTTCCGTACTTCACTTTAAGCCGATCGTCCACTTTGATTGTCGATTCGTCTATTGATTTCGAATCTGACCGAAAAAAAAAACAAATTTTAAATAAATAAAACAAATAATAACAGTTAGATATCAGATAAATGGTGTCCAAAAACCAGATAAACAAAAAACAAATTCTCAATACTTTTGCCCGAATCCTTCTCGTCTTCGTCCGAGTCGTCAACCGTCGATTGTCCAGTCATTGTATCCTCATCTACAACACTGGCCGGAGCTGCGGGAGGAGGCTCTTCATTGATCTCTTCTTTAATCTTTTTATTACGTCCTCTACTGGACCGCTGTTGTCGGCGATCGTTATCGATAGTGTCGTCCGGCTTTTTGCTATCCTTTTCCTCTTTAACGGTAACAACTTTGCTACCACTTCTACTGCCGCCACCGCCACCGTTATCGTCACCTTTGCCGTCGTCACCGCCTTTTGTTGCCTCTCCTCTATCCTTGCCTTTGCTATTGCGTTCACTAATGCTAACACCATCGCCAGCACCGTGACTGCTGGCGGCACCAGTAGTAACAGTATCCTTATCTCTGGCGGCTTCGGTATCCTCTTTTTGGTCATCTTTTTTCGATTCTCTCTCCTTTTTGATCGACTTTTTTGTTGTCAACGACACCGACGGCGCCGGTTTTTCTTCGCGCAGACTGCGTTCGCCGCGCGACGGTCGCGATGTCCGCGAATTAACGGTTATAGTGCAGCCGAGTTTGCGATAAAAGTCGTCGAAAGCCAACAAATACTTCTTGAACGCCGTCTTCAACTGTAGAACAGCGTTAGACTCTTTGCCGGTAGTCGTAGGATTGCCGGCCAGTCCTAACTTTGTGTAAACGGCACGCCACGAACTCTTGTTGGTCACCCGATTATATCCGCCCATTTTCACAACAATTCTGTACAGTTTGTATAGATTGAGATCACGGCCGCCAACAGTGGGCGCCCGATTGATTGGTGTTCCCCTTTCGTCCATATATTTGTAGAGTTGGGCAACAAAACGATCTTTTTCTTCGCTTTGTTCGTCGTCGCTGTCGTCCGAATCCTTTTCTGGCGGCGATTGACTGCTCTCTGTTTCCTCGGCTTCGGGTTCGTCGTCATCCGAGTCGGATGTTGGCGGTCGTCGTCGGCGTCGACGACCTATAGTACAAAATATATAAAATATATTATTATAAAAAACACAATAAAATAATGACTGTTAATATATATATATATACCCAACGATACGGGATTACCAAAGTGTTCGGGATTGGTCAGCGGCAACTGGTCCAGTGTTTCCGATTCGGCAAAATGTTTGCCACTTTTCAGACACAAACTGTTACGCTTGAGTGTGGCCTCATCGCCGTCGTCGAAGACAACCGTATAGAAACTTTGGTCGAGTATTTTGTTGACAACCGCTTCGACCGGTTGGCCGCCCGGTGTAGTCTTGGCCGTAACTATGGCACCCACTCGCAGTGCACCCGTAACAATGGAGTCGTCGTCGACGGTAGCCGTCTGGCCGCTCGACTTAACCGTTAGTTTGCATTTGACGTTACGTATGATCTTCTTGATCTTGGCCTCGCAAAAGGCGCCCTTATATTTGGCCGACACGTCCGTACCGATCGGCAACACTGACGGTTCGTCGGTTAGTGCGGCTGCTGTGGCAGTCAACGAGTGATGGCCGCCAACTTGTTGGTGATGATGATGGCCACCACCTCCCGCACCGCCGCCGCCCGAACCACCCGATTGGCCGCCATTGCCACCGGTTAGCGATGTTTGTGGCGATTGTTTCGATGACTTTGACATCGCGATGTCTGGTCGTTGTGTATGATTGTTACCGATCAATGGTCACTACAATGAGATTGTGTCCATTCAAGACATTGGTGACCAGTGGCCACACACACTGTTGACACACTATCGGCTCAATCGGTAGTTTGTTGTTGTTGTTATTGTTGTCCCGCAAGTGACTGTTCAGGTGTCCAATGGTTGGCCAGTGGCCACACAGTTGTCAGTAATAATAATAATAATAATTAATTAATTAATTATTTTTAAACAACACTTGAAATCACATTATAATTATAATAATAATAATAATAATCTATTTTATTGTTATATTAATTATTAATAATAAATACAATAAAATTATTAATAAATTTACTGTTAGTTTAAGTAATAATAATAATAATTATTATTATTATTATTATATTAACCGTAAGTACAGTGTATTATATATGTGTTATACAGTATATAAATGACATGAAAACAACAAAAATATATAAATAAATAAATAAATAGTTTTATTTCATACTCTATAACACATACTCTGTATATTGTGTTAACATTTATGTTAAATACAATATTATTATTATTATTATAAATACCGTAAAAAACATGGCGTACAACACATACACACATATAATATAATATAATATTGGTTTAGTTTGTTTGTGTGCTAAATGTTAAGTTTATATGTGTATGTGGTTGCTATTGGTTACATACATATGTTTTTATACACAGTGTGTATGTATGTGTGTGTGTATGTATGTGTGTATGTATGTATGTGTGTGTGTGTGTGTGTGTGTGTGTGTGTGTGTGTGTGTGTGTGTGTGTGTGTGTATGTGTGTGTATGTATGTATGTATGTGTGTGTGTATCTATGTATATATGTATGTGTGTATATATATATTTATGTGTGTATGTATGTATGGTATGGTATGTATGTACCTATGTATGTGTGTGTCTATGTATAAATATGTATGTATGTGTGTGTGTGTGTATGTATTTATGTATTTATGTATTTATGTATGTATGTATGTATGTATTAATATGTATGTGTGTGTATGTATGTATGTATGTATATGTGTGTGTCTATTTGTATGTGTGTGTAAACTTTACCATACTACACACACACACACACACAATAGTAGTATATAAAAAATACATGGCTCCTATATATTTTAATGGGCGTGGCTTAAATATACTTACTAGTACATATACTGTATAAGTTTTATAAGTTTTATCCATGTCTAATATGTTTGCATATACAGTGCGCGCGTAAATTTAAATATGATAATGCAATAATACTATTATACAGTACAATACCATATAAACATTTAAATTTTGTTAAAAAAAATAACCATGCACATATAAATAGTTCTAATTACAAATGTAAAGTTAGTTTTTTTTTGAAATAAATAAAATTATTTAGCTATTTAGCAATTATTTATATAAAAAATTGAACTATGTACTGTGGGAAAAAAAAGTGTAACAATTATGTTTAAAATTATTATATATTTTTAAAAAATTACTTTTTATATTTATTTAAAGTTTGAAATTTAATTAAAATTATTTTTTGTATGTAGAGTACAATTTATTTTGTTGGAGTAGTCAAAAAAAAATATTGTAACGCTTTATATATATATTTAAATGAAAAAAAATATTTAAATATTTGCGTTATGCTATCAAGGACATTTGATAAATTAAAAGTTTAAATGTTTATAACCTTATTAAAATGTCCATGATTGTCGTTAATTAATAACATTGCAATGCATTTATGAAACATTTATGTACATTTGGTACCTTTATATACTGTATATAAATATATATGTTTATAAATAGATAAAATAAATTCAAATATTAATTATTGTATAGCTTATCGATCATATGTTTTGAAATTATTACATATTTTATATTATTATTAATTTTAATTAAAATAATTTTAATATTAATATACAAAATAAAAAGTTGTTATTTATTTTATAATATATAATATGCAATAAAAAAAATTTATATAACTTTTGTTGTTATTGTTGATTTAGCAGTAAAAAAATAGCACTGTTAAAATTTATATATATTTTAATCAATAATTAAAAAAAAATAATCAAGATAACTTTTTAAAAAAAATAATCAAGATAACTTTTTAAAAAAAATTATCTTGATTATTTTATTGCAATCATAATTATTTTAATATTTTCATTGATTTACTAATATTAACTATAAGTAATTTTTTCGCACCTTAAATTATTTATTTATTTATTTAATTATTTAATTTTGATTATACTAATTATAATAGCATTAATGTAAAAAATCACAATATAGCAATTTATATTTATTTTATATACCGGTATAATTTATGTAATTATTAATAATTAATTAAAATTATAATTTTTTTTAACAGAGGACACATTAATAATCTACTACTACTACTACTACTACTACTACTACTACTAATAATAATAATAATAATAATAATACAAATAAATCTTTATTGAAATTTTTTTTACGATTTTAATGATTGATTATTTTTGTTTCATAAAACTTATTTCGTTGTTGATATAAAGCTTAAATAATATGTAACTTTATTTTTTTTAAAAATAAAACTTATATAAAACGCTTATAATCTATTGTATATTGTATATACTATATTATTCAATAGATACAGTACGTGTATGATGTTTATAACTAAAGATAATGAGGATATATTAAATATTTTTTTTATTATTTTTATTATTATTTTTATTAAATTTTGTTTTTTTTTCATTACTCTTATAGTGTAATCCAACAATAATTGTGAGCTAACTATCCTTGATTTCAATGACATGATATACTTGAAAGAGAGAGAGAGAGAGAGAGAGAGAGAGAGAGAGAGAGAGAGAGAGAGAGAGAGAGAGAGTTATTGAATGTAAATTATATTATATTTAAATTATTAACAATTAAAATGAGTTAAACCTAGACTATGTGTGTGTGTGTGTGTGTGTGTGTGTGTGTGTGTGTGTGTGTGTGTGTGTGTGTGTGTGTGTGTGTGTGTGTGTGTGTGTGTGTGTGTGTTATTTATATATATATATATAAATTATTTTGTAAATGCTTATTGTGTGCAAAATAAAAATGTTTGACTAACACATTGATTTAATCATAATCATCAAACACTTATTATTATTATTATATATAATTTATTTTTTAAATACAAGTACAGTATATTTCTACATTAATTGTTTAAATACTATATAAAATGTTTTTATGTTACTAATACATGAATTGTGTGTTAGTTTTTTTAATAAAAAAACTTATTAAATGTAAAGTTTTTTTTGTTAATTTATTGCTCGAAGCTATTGTTTTAAATGTTTATTATTATTATTATTATTATTATTATTTGGTTGAAGTAAAAACTTTCAATTTTATGCTAATTTTTTGTTGTTTGCTATCTCTGTGCGCTTCAATTGTATATTAAAAAAAAGTTTAGTATTTTTATGTGAAAATAAAAAGTTGAAACATTTATTGTTAGGCAATAGTTTTTTAGTTTTTTTTAAATTTTTTTTTTTGATTTTCTAATTAATGCTTAATCTTTTACATTTTGTTGTTGATTGTGATTGAAATTAATGGGGAGGATCTGGTTAATGGGGGGAGAAGGGGGAGGGAGAGGGAGTCAATTCAATAGTGTATGTAATAGTTAGTGGGAATTGAATTTTTCCCCTTTTTAACTAACTGTTTGGTGTTTTATTTTGCAATAATACTATATTTTTTATATAATAGTAAGACATATACAGTATTGTTGTTAATCATTGTTTTAGTAGTGAATAAGTTACTATCAGTTTATATAAAATAAACTGTATTTAAATAAAAATAAATTTATGTGATATAAACTACTATTAGTATAATAAAAATCATTTAATAATTTTTCTTTGTGATAATTGTTTGTTTAAAAAAAAGTTTTTTTTTATAAAATAAAATAAATTTTTTTTTTATTTATTTCATTTGTGTTTTACATATGTGTTAAATTATAAATTACAGTAATAATAATGAATTCTCAAAATAATATAATTATTTTGATGTTTTATTAAATGTAATTTTTTTTCTCTCTCTCTCTATTTAAATATAATTTTAAAATTTTAATATGTATAAAAAGTATTATTAAATATTATCAATAATAATATTAAATAATTTTAATTAATTAATTAAATGTGTAATCTTACAAATAACAAGTTACTTTTTTTTAATTTTATCGTTTTTTTAATTTAAAAATAAATAATAATACTATAAATAGTTATAATATGATGTAAAAATTTAAGTAACTTTTTAAAAAAAAAATATTTTTGAGTTTTACATTAAAAAAAAATTATGATAAAATTTTATTTAATTATACTGATAATTTATGATGATTAATTTTTCTATACATATGTTTTTTTAAAAAAAATAAAATAAAAATGATGTGCATCTGATTAAAATATAATTTTATTTTTATTATTATTATAATTATGAAATTACATATAAAATAAATATTCTGGTCATAAAATATCATTTAAATTGCTATTCAAAATTAAAATAAGTTTTTATTTTTATTTTTTTATAATTTATTTTTTTTGGTGACAAACATATAGTAGTTGTATGATATATGTGCGTATTAATGTAATATTTTTAATTATTATTAAATTTATCAAGATTATATTTTTTTGTGTTTTAATTTAATGTTTTATTAATTATTTATTTTTTTATAAAAAAAACTACCGGGTGATATATTTATTATCAGACTAGACAATCATATAAATATAGTATTATTGTTATCATTATTGAAATAATACTAATATTATTAATAATAATAATAATTTAAATTTTCAACCAAAATCATCTATGTGATACAAAAATTATTTTGTATTAAAATGTTTAAAGTGTAAAAATTAATTTAACATTTAACAAAAATATTTATATAATAATATTAATAATAATATTAATAATAATAAAGTTATAATAACTACAATATAATATTTATCGTTATATCATTATAATAAAATTATAATAAAAATATATATAACCCTGGACATTATTACATTATTATTACTATTACTACTACTATCAACAACAACAATATTATTACCATGTAAGTTTTTTGACATAAATTTATTATTATATACAGTATAATAATTTCTATAAGTTATTGACACCCCCTCCCTCCCACCTACCCTGGACCTATTGTTAAAAAAATCAATTTCACAAAAAC